TGTAGGATTCTTAACTTCATCCATTGTAGTCACTGCAGTGGAGATGCTCTCCATGATAGTAAAAACTGAGGGCTCAGTGATACTCATGGTGAGTTATAGAGTTAGGAACTATACATTTGTCATGTTTCATTTTGTGAATAAACGCAAAACTGAGTAAAGATTGACTCCTGACTTATCCTTAATCAACTGACTGTAAGATTTCATCAAGACTGTGTCAGCTTTTTAAAAGACTACCCAATTTATTCCCCTATTCTCCCATGACTCTACAAATCCAATCCTTTCCATGTACATTATATGGAATTCATTACACAATGACTACATGAAGAGTGGAAATTTCAGGAACAGTAAACAGTTGCATCAAATGTATAGATTCTCAGTTTAGCAAGGAGAAATGGGACAAACCAGCAAGAAAGGAGAGAAGAGTTTCTAAGGCTGAATGGTGATGAAGGACAAAGCAAAGGAAACAGTAGACTGAGAGAGAAAATGGAGAAAAAATAGAGGGGTCTAGGAGAGGTGAAGAAGAATGGGTTAAAGGAAGGAAAGGAACAGAAAGTAGAAATGAATTTTAAAGATTAATAATTTTATTCTGTTCAATCAACTCTAGTAGCATTAAATTTGTTGCCATGAAATACTTTGAGGACTACAGCTTCACTCTCTCTTTCTGTCTCTTCCTGCTGTCCCCCCAACCCCCAACTCATATCCTCGTCAGGTATCTTAAGTACAGTGAGAGCCCAACAGCTGCCAGTCTTGGCACATAATCAATCAGTCCAAAACAATGTTGGCAGAATAAAAAAACCCATCATAAACAAACCCTCAAAATAATCTCCATGCATGTGGTGTAAATAATTGTGCAAGAACTCCTACACAATTTGTTCTTACATAAAAGACAGGTTATTAAAGGACAAATGAAATTTTCCTCTTGAATTAGCAATTATGAAACCAGCAAGATTTTCATGCCCCAATCTATGGTTGTGGAAGCATAATCTCTGCATAAATTCCTTCTTTCACTTGCTTTCTAAATTATGCCCTTTATACATTGTGTAAATCATAAAATATTGCAATTGGCTTAAAAACTGAGCACAATTTCAATTGTTTGTTAAATTGTACTAACAATTTCTATTATGCTAAGGAATGCTAAGTTTATTTAGAGTTATAACTTTGTGTATTTTGCTGATAAACAGGATTAAATAAAAGGAGTATCTGAAGCATTTTCTGTTGCTCTGAATGGCTTATGCAGTCCTTGGTTTCTTCCAAATGGATTTAACATTAAAAATCAATATTTAAAAATGCCATCATTTGATGTGCTGCCAAGCACAGTAGAGTTTAACTTAATAAAGTAACATGCAAAACTTGAGTCATTGTTATGGAGAAGTCCATATGCTCTATATTTCTTTCGCCAGAAACACTTCAGAACGCAATACAAAATCTCTGCTTGTTGATTGCATGTAAGATTTCTGACAGACTTGGAGCTTGGAAAATGATTACATTGTTTCTTTGGAACTTGCCCTTAGGTATTTACAAAATCAATGTCACCAAATTGGTGGTATTGTAGACAGTGAAGAACATTTCTAAGATTACAGTGGGATCTTGATCAAATGGGTCAATGGGCTGAAAAATAGCAGATGGAGTTCAATCTGGATAAATGCGAGGTATTGCATTTTGGTACAACAAACAAGTAGGGCTTATACAATTAATGGTAGGGCTTTCGGTAGTGTTGGAGAACAGAGGGACCTAGGGGTGCAGGTACATAATTTTTTAAAGTTTGCGTCACATGTAGACAGGATGGTTAAAAGGGGTTTTGGCACTCTTGCCTTCATTCCTCAGTTCTTTGAGTATAGGAGTTGAGATGCTATGTTGATGTTGTACATTACATTGGTACGGCCTCTTCTGGAGTACACCCAGTTATGTGTAGGACATTATCAAGCTGGAGAGGGTTCAGAAGAGATTTACCAGGATGTTGCCCGGTATGGAAGGTTTGAGTTATAAGGAAAGGCTGGATAGACTGGGACTTTTTTCACTGAAGTGTAGGAGGTTGAGAGGTGACCTGATAGAAGTTTAAAATAATGAGAGATATAGATAGAGTTGATGGTAGTTGTCTTTTCCCTAAGATGGGGAGTTTCAAGTCTAGGGGGCACACTTTAAGATGAGAGGAGAGAGATTTGAAGAGACATGAGTGGCAAACACTTTACACAGTGGATGGTTCGTGTGTGGAATGAACTTGCTGAGGAAGTGGTGGATGTGGGCACAATTATAACATTTAAAAGACGTTTAGATAAGTATATGAATAGGAAAAGTTTAGACGGATATGGGCCAGGAGCAGGCAGATGGGACTAGTTTAGTTTGGGATTGTGTTAGACTGGTTGGACCGAAGTGTCTGTTTCAATGCTATATGATTCTGTAACTCAAGAATTTGCAAAATTGGGCTCAATCAAAAGATATTTTTGTTGTGTTACATACGACGTTATTGTAATTTGTTTTCTTTTTGCCATATTTTAGAAGTTAGTTCCTCTCCCTCCTCAGATGTGTTCCGCTGCCATGATACACCATTCAATAGTGGCAGGTAGCCAACCTTACCAAATTTATTCCCTAATTTATCCTTTTATATTTTGCTGCTAAATCCCTGTAGATTTAAAGGTATTTTGCATTGATGAAGTGTCATGGAGGTCAGGCAGATATTATTCCTACCAGAAACAGCATTCTCTAACTTAAAGGAGATGACTACCAGTGACCCACAGAGCAGCTATCTTTCCTTTTTGTGCCTTTCAGCTTTTCATTGCCTATGATTGCCAGCAGTGGCTGAGTAGAGCTTGCAGTGGAGCTTGCAGATGTATATTTTAGCGCAGATTCCAAGGATCTTTATTGTGAAAATATGAAGTGCCACTGTGTATAATGCTAGCTGTCATATCTTTCCACATTTTCTGCCTCAGTATGACCAGGGCCACCATGTGGCTAACACAAGTGTGAGCCAGCATGACTCTGTGTACTACATTATACACGTTTTGTTACATGGTGTGTCTAAGGTTATACCTTATTAAAATGCACTCATACTCTTCATATATAATTAACTGTAACTTTTTTATTACAATGACTTCACTATAGGTGAAATTTTCCAAGCTCTTGAATGAAGTGGGCTGTGGTGAGAAATCGAGGAAAGTTGGTGAGATGTCGAGTAAGGCCCTTTTTTGACATGATGAGCAAAAAGTTTGCATTTTCTAACTAAGACTTGGACACCAGATGTGATTCTTGTTTGTGAGTGGTGAAAGGCCCAGTAAACAAGGACTGTTGTTCATGATCTCTCACATTATTACTTAGTCTTGCCTCATAATATGCAACTTTCCATTTACCTGCTTGCTGAGAAATCCTGACATGAAAGTCAGTGTGGTTAACTAGTGATTCCAACTCGCAGCTTACTCCTCTAGACCTCTATCTTGGACACCCAACCACAGCATCTCCGGGCATGCTGCATACACTCCAACTCCATGGGCATTGACATCTGCTATGTACGACCCCTCACTGTGTCATCATGGCACATCTCTGATCCACTTATAGTAAGGTTCTGCACTTTGGAGCACACGGGCCCATTTCATTGCAAATGCAGCTGCAAGGACACTTTGCACACAACGACAAGTACCTAACTCATGATCTGGACCAGGGACCATCTCAGGACTGCTCTATGGCTCTCTTAACAGAATCCCACTTTGCACCTACGTGGATGCTCACAGTCTCCCTGTTTACCTTGCCTTGCCTTTCCTTTCTGCACTTTGCCACCTTGGCTAAAGCCTGAAGGCTCTCACAGTATAGCTGTCCTGCATTGGTGTTCAGTGCAGTCTGAAAGTCAAGGAGCTTGTCATGGTTGTTAACGGTCATCAGATAAGGAAGTGGAAAGCTTAGAAACACAAAATAGGGACAGGTGTGTAGGCCTTTTGGCCCTTGCAGCCTGCTTTGCCATTCAGTAATAATCATGGCTGATCTTCAGACTCAGTACCTCGTTCCTGCCTTCTCCACATACCATTTGATCCCTTTAGCCCTATGAACTAACTCCCTAAACATTCAATGTTTTGGCTTCAACTGCTTTCTGTGGCAGGCCCAGCTCTGTCTCTAGTTGAAGAAATGTCTCCTCATCATAGCCCTAAATGGCCTACTCTGTGTCCAACCCCCAGTTCAGTTTAAAATTAGGATTCTCAATTGTGGGCCTGGGGCAAATTACTGAGATAGTAAGGGATTTGGATGAGAATTTAAAAATTGAGGCAAGAGGACCCAACGTAGGTGAGTGATCACAGGGCTTATGAATGAACATGGTGCAAGTTAAGACAAAGATGTACAGTTTGGATGACGTCAAATTTCCAGTGGGTAGAACATGGGAGGCCATCCAGGAGTGTGAAGGAATAGTCAGGTATAGAGATGTTCTCCAACTTTATTGTCATCTTTTCTATGGTGAAGTCCATAAACTGTACATTTCTTTAGCCAGAAACACTTTAGCACACAATGTAAAGTGACTGCTTGTTGATTTGTAATTGGGTTTGCAGGCTTATTTTGAGCTTGTAAAATGATTATGTTGTTTCCTCTGAACATATCCTTTCTTTAAATACCAGCACAAAATTCAGAGACTGAAGTCACAAAAGAAGGACCAACTTCAGCCTCTGTGTGCTGTGTATGAAATGTTTATATGTTTACATGGATTATATGGCACTTCTTATCATTTAGGACAATTGAGTGGTGTTTAAGATAAACAAAAATGTCTCCGAGAATTGCTGTCCTTAGTCATGGAGGATAACCACCTGACACTTTTGCATCGGTTATACTATTTCTATATCATTGTAATGTATTTTGCTACTAAGCCACACTGGTGGGCAATCTCAGGTTAAAATGTTTGTTGAAATGCTTTCAAAAAGATACAACCTCTTGAATGGAATGCTCTTCCAATTTAAAATGTGAAATTTATATAGCCTGTCTGATCGTTTCTATATCACTTTTCTTGTTTTGTATAATTTGATTCTCAGGTACTTGGTGTTAGAACATGTTTCTGGGGGAGAACTCTTTGATTATCTCGTGAAAAAAGGACGACTGACACCAAAGGAGGCCCGAAAGTTCTTCCGACAAATAATATCTGCATTAGATTTCTGCCATAGCCATTCAATATGGTAAGCTTCAAACATTGCAACTGCAGTTAATCTGTTCAAATGAATCTGCTCATATTTCAGTGCACTGTAAGGAACATATTTGTTACCAATCAACTGTTCAACAGTTGTTGAGAATGATCACATCAATCAGAAAAAGGTTCTGTGTACATGTGGGTTCATTACTATTGGGATGTGATTAAAATTTGATGGAAGTAATAATTTGAGAAAAATCTTTTGATATCTTGACTTTCATCTGAGTACGTTCGTTAACAACAGGAAAGGGATTTGTCTTGAGACTTGCATCAAAAATATGATAATTAGTAAAATTCCCCCCAGTGATTTTGAATTTGACTTTGGAAAGTTTCCTTATGGGTAGAGGAGCTTTTTACAACAAACACAACAAAAGTCATTTGGACCTGATAGGCAGCTGTAAAGTATCTTGCAAGAACTTACAGCAAATATTAGTCACACTGACCATTTAAAATGTATCGAATTATTTTCAGAGTTCTAATTTTTAAGATTCTAACCTGATTTCTCCAACCTTGATAAACAAACAATATTAGTGCACAATTTGAAGGAGATGAGAGATCACACTAGTGAAAATCTGATCAGTTTAACCCTGAATAACAGGTGTCTTGCAGTGGAAGCAGGGTATTTAAGGTAGCAGTAGAGTACTGCATTACTTAACTGTTTAGTAAATATCTTTACAATGTGGTTTACACTTCAGAAGTTTGATCCAGGCATTGATCATCTGTATTAGATATTTTCTAAATAACCTGTTCAGAGATGTTATTGCTCACCTGGGACTTGAATCTGGACCTCCTGGCTCGAGGGCAGAGACATGAACCCTGCATCACAGTTGTCTTGATCGTCCTTTTTCAAACATTAACTAAACTTTATTCAGCTTTATTAAATAAATACTATTTGAATAATGAAGCAATGATGATGCTATGGATTTAGGAGGATTGCAGGCCATGAAGCTATTGCAATGAAAAGGTTTAGTTGAAAGAGCATCAGCGTGTATTTCAAGAATAGTGATGATATTAGGTAATTAACTAAGTAATTTTGGTTGGTATTCTCATTCAATAAATTTATCTGAAGCTTAAAGTTAGAATGCAGCGCAAGGCCACACTGATATGGCTGTTGTTTATTGTGTACTGGAGTTTTTATCGTATCATAGGAGGTGAGCCCAATGCTCTTGATGTGGAATAACAACTACATTAAAATCTTGTAGATTTAACAAGTGACAGCATGTAGCTAATTACACAACAATTCATGTATATTGTAGACTAGTACAGTTTTTCTGATTAATACAAACAACATGTACAATAAATAAATGACAAATGTCACTTTGAGAATCAGTTATTTAAGGGACTTGTTATTGAGAGGATTGTTGAAACCTCAAACTAATTTTTAATTGACTTGAATTTGCATGTCAGATAATGTACAATTGGCTTAAGTTATAATTCAGAAATATTCGGGAGTGGCACTGATGGAGAACTGTGTTACAAGGGAGGCGTGGGATGTTAGACAATGATGGAGAAAGCTAACAGTAGGTACCGTTAACAGGAGAGTGAAGTATATTAACTGTTTCAGCGCAGCCATTGTCACTTTCATGTGCATCAAAGGAACCTGAGCATCTACCTGTTGTTGATTGTAAATCTATGAAGTATTTCTCTTTTTGTTTTTTTTAATCTCTTGTATCAAGTATGAAAGATTGCAAAGTTTAGTGGATATAAATATATTTGTCGACCATTGGAGAGAATTCTATTTAAAATAACAGGGATCTGTAAGAATGAAATCTAGTTGATGAAATTAAAGATAACCTGCAACATGTGTCTAAATTCCAGCTCTTACAAACCTCCAAGCCCTGTTATCTATATTATTCTATATCGTCCAAGTCGTTTGCTTTGGTTGAAATCACCTTGTATCTGTTTTTGAAAGTTACTCCTATTGATGATGAATGGCAGCAGCCTGCGCAATGTCTCTGATGAATAATACCATGTTAACCTTGCTTTTTAAAAATATTTTATAATATCCATCTTAATAAAAATAGAAATGTTAGTATAAAGGAAAATCGGTGATATTTTAAAACAAATTCAATATTTCCTATTAATTTCTGAAATAAGTTTTTTTCAATTTGTAATGTAATTGATGCATCAAAGCTAATGTGAAACTGATTATGATGCAAATGTTTATAAATATAGGCATAATAACGTGAGATTAATTAGGCAACAGGTTAAACAAGACTGTCTTCATAGTTGGTAGACTATTTCACTTTGGTATTTTTAAGTAATTCAATAGCTGGAACAATACTAATGTATTCAAAAGAAAAGCTTTGATGTTTATGTGAATGTAGAAATGATCAATGAGACTTCAACCTTGTGAGAATACTGTAAAGAAGCTAGCCAACTAAAGTGATCCTACTCAGTAGGCGACTGGTGCAAATTATTATTGGTCCATCAACATAGTTCACTATTGTCTTGAAAATTATTATTATATAGAATGTCTGGCTACAACCTCTGTTGCCAGCTAATGCAATAAAATGAAGCTGAACTTTTTGAAAATACAAACCTCTCTGCAAATTTCTGGCCAAGAGGAAAACTTAATTAAAGGAAGAGAAATAAAGCTAGTTTAATAGTATTCTGCATTGATACACTATGTTCAAAGTAGTGAGTCGATTGTCTTTAAGTGTGCATAATTTTAGCCAACTGTTTCAGGAAAGGATCTTATGTTTTTGTGGCAGGTAAAGGGAAACAAGAAAACAATTCATCCCTTCATGCATCTTTACCTTGCCCATTTGATTCATTGTGCATTTTGGCGCAGCTATCTTTATTTTTCACCTGCTTTGGCCTCTTACTCTTTTGTTCTCCTGTTCTCCTCAGTCAATTAGAACTTTGATCATCTCTCTCGCCTTCAAAGAACTTTACTGCATCACTATTGCTTCCCCCAGTATGTAACTACTCATCAGTCTCCTTTCTCATCTGCTACCATCTCATTCTTGAATTATCTTTGAACAGATCCCCGAATTTCCACTGGGTCAGTGTGGCATTCAGTATTGCCTTAAGAGAGGTCATTTCAATGGCCTCCTCGTCATCTTTTCCTGCTTTTCTTTCTCCCTAGTAATCCCACTGGGGGCTAACCTCACCAATGACATTCTCGTCCTGCTGTGTATACCTAAAACTTTGAATTCTGCTGCTGGACATATGATCATCAACAATCTGTGCATTTCTTACCAAAATGTCTGCTAACTCATAAAGAGGATGCTTACTATTCAAATCATACTGTTGATGATTGTTGCTAAGAGAGGGGTTTTATCACAGATGTCAGTGAATAATACAAGGGAAAATCGGTCTGAGTACAAAAATGTGGAAAACAAGGGAAATGAAGGACAAAAGAGACAGTATGAGAATAGATTGGTTAACTTAAAAGGAATCTAAAAGTGGTCTTTGGCATATTAGTAGTGAACATGTTGTGAGTAGAATGGTGTAGCCAATTAAGGGCTCCGAAAATGGAGATAATATGATCAGCTGTTTATTTCCTTACCCCACTGCTCACAAAGACATACCTAGCCATTTCTCACCATCCTTTCACCATTCTCTATCCAGCCTCATCTTGTCAATGAAATATATTTCCTGTTTTTGCACTTCGACTGCTCTGTGTGTCATTGGGGTGGTCTGCACCTCCAAGTCTTCCACAAGCCGATCCAAAATACAGTTCCCTGACGCACAATGCCACGGACAAAGCCATGTGAGAAAACAGACCAGAACCTTCATCCACCCCATTCACATTTTGTCACAGAGCCCGACTAAGTGTGTCACAATGCAATCCCCATAACTTGATAAATTAATTTCCCAGCAAAAGAGAGAGGATCACACAATTTCAGGTGCTAAGACTTCAACAACTGTAACAACTATACTAAAATTATCCACTAAATATTACTTTGTAGACAAGTAATACATTAAGCTTATATAAAAAGAACTTTCTACATTAATTAACATAGGCAAAAATCCCATGCCACATTTATATCTTATTCCAGAGCAAATACATAAAGATGTAAACTTCTTCTGGCTACTGACATCCACCATTTCATAAAAGGGTGATTCTTTTAATTTTATTTTAAAGTTCCTTCACTGGATTGTCAGTGTATCATTAGTTGACTTACAGCAGCGGGGCATTCTCTGGCTTTACTCAGCTGTTTAAATCTCTGCAACCCTCATCTCTTCAAGTAGAAAATCTCTACATGGCAGCATCCTGCTTGGTTGTTAACAAAGTCAGCCCTTCCCTTTGGTTGACGCAGCAGTAGCTGTCTTTCACATTTCCTGTGTGAGCATCTGTGTCCAGCCCAACCAGCTACCTGTTCCTTGTGTCAAGGTGTCAAAACTGACACCTGAATTTCTATGGGTTTTATCCTAGGCCTCTTTTCCCATGACAACCAAATCACATGGATCTGACTCCTGGCAGAATTCAATATGATCAACCATCTTCCAATCTAGGATATTTTACCTTGTCTTGAATTAAAAGAGACAGTTCCAGGCATAAACACAATATATAGTGTCACACTTTTAACAGTTGCAACATTCAGCTACGAGATGAGATTTTCAACACTTATGGAAATAAGGAAAAGGAACTGGCTGAATATAAAGCATAACTGAAGCTCTCTAGCTTGAGACCAGACATCACCAAGTTGGTATCTCATCAAAAACACCACCATTCTTCCCAGTAATTCTGATAAGTTCTTTGTCAGTGGACTCTTTACTCAATTAAGTGATCCATCCACAAGAATGTTTGAGGATCACTGTTTTAATTCCATTTCCATGAAATGAAGGAATACTCCATGCCTATTCCTTACTCTTCCCCCACCTCTGCTCATTGACATTGCAAATGATTCTTTCTTCTTAGCACCCTTTCAAATCTATAGTCAGTATTTCCTTACTGAATCTCTGTCTTTATTAATTACCATTTAATCTTTTTAAAATCTTGTTAGAGCATTTTATCTCTGAATCTGTTTTTATCAATCC